TTATAAAGTTCAGCTCCAGATCATCACAGAGTGGATGACGACAGACATAAGTGCGGAGTGGATGACAGACATAAGTGCGGAAAGGATGACAAACATGAGTATGAGGGAAAAGAAAGCTAGTTAAGACTTAACTTTGAATAATCACTAAACCATACCTCCAAACATAACGAATGTGCTACATGTAACCAAGTCCATAATCTCTAGCCTAACGAATGTGCTACATGTAACCAAGTCCATAATCTCTAGCCAAACAAATGTGCTTCATTTATCAAAAACCATTTCTACAGAGTGGAAAATAAGGGGAAAGAACAAATAAATTCATCAGTGAAAGATTTTTATTAATATTATTTTTTTTATGTTTGGGCTTGTAACAAAAGCTGCTGTAACTAAATCTCAAACAAGGATTAGATTAGATTTTAAAAATGTTTTTAACAAAATATGTACAACATTATCCAGCTATTTAAATAAGAACATCAAATGTCCAAACCAGACAGAGAATGAAGCAAAGTTTGGATGTAGTGACATTTCATTCTGACTTAATATAAACCTTGTTTTAATTGCCTACATTAAAAAATTTTAAAAAAAATTAAGTAGCTTGTAAAAATGTTTTAAGACAAATTGAATGACCTTTGACCTAATATGGAAAAACCAAAATACAGACTCCCCAGAGAGGAAAAAAAACAACATTCTTACATGAACCTTACATTCAGCATATTGTATTATTTAAAATATATATGTGATGATAGTGTTAGCACTAGTTTCACATTTGGCTAACACTACAAGGTTGCGTACTATTGAGTCCTAGTCATTTAACTATAAGCTGTGTAGTCTACAGCAGGATTTGCCAAACATTTTTGAGTGAGGGGCACTTTTTCCAAATGATATTTGTTAAATATATTTGGGAGTTTCATGTCTTAGGATACACGAGTAAAATACAGAGCTGAATCTATTCTTTAAAAGAGTCGCAGGTTGCCCAAAATTTGTCTGGATCAGTGGTCGGCAAACTCATTAGTCAAAAGCGCCAAAAATCAGCAGCAGGACGATTAAAAATTTTTTGAGAGCCAAAGTTCTTTTCAAGAACCTGTCAAGAACCATGTTTTTCGGAGTCAAAACGGATTTGTGGCTGACTGGTCGAGCCGCACTTGAGTCACTAAAGAGCCGACCACTGGTCTAGAGCATGCCTGAATGCTCCGTTATGCATAGCATTTCCTGCTTTCTGCAGTTGCCGTGATTCAGTTACATTTCAGCAGTAAGACAACACAAAACTTTTCTAAAAGTCAGTTCACAGTGCTGACCATATTTTAATTTTAATAGAAAACTCAATTGTTTTGGGTCAAATTTGGGCTTGAAAATGATGTGTCAGAAAATGATGTGTCGGAAAATGATGTTTCAGAAAATGATGTGTCAGAAAATGATGTGTCAGAAAATTATGTGTAAGATCTCCAGTGTTGAATCTGTGAAAGCCTGATGTGGGGACCTTTAACTAAGGAGTTTCACAATGGTGCTCAAGTTTTTGGATCAATGTGGCTGCATGAATTAGTTCTCTTTTAACTAGAAATTCATTCAATCTGAGTACAGATCAAGAACTTAAAATAACTTAATAATAAGATCATGGAATGAGACATGAGGTAAGATGGCAAATAACAGAGGCAGAGATGAGATGCCCCATTTTGATTACGGAACCTGTGGGCTTCAGAATAATACTTGCTTTGCTGCTTGAAAAAATTCAATTTTTTATCATGAAATGCTGCTGAGAATACATTCCAAAATGTATCAGTATCATAGTGTTTATAAAAATTGCAAAAAATGTACTAGCTAAAGCTGTAGCTCCTCTTTTTTTAAGGAAGGTTTATTTAACAATATTTACATGATTTGATATACTTATGTCAAGTAACAAGGAATGATGACAAGAAGATAGAGCTGCATAAGAATATATGATGTATTTTCTGTCTATGTTTTCAAGAGTTGTGGATTCCGTGCAATTCGGCCACCAGTTTCTTAAGGCTGTTTTATTATTTCAGAGAAAAACATACAACTGATCAATCATAACAACTGTCAATCATAACAACTGATCAATCATAAAAAATATTTTAAAAGAAAATTTGTTAACCGACTTTGCCTGAATGATAAACAACACACAACACATGGGACTGAGACTCAAGCAAATTAATGGGTCAAATAGTTTGGGTACATAAAAAAATATATGCCATTCTCATAATTTTAAAACTTTTTTTATAATTCATTCTATGTCAAATTAACGTAAAATTGAAGTGTGGTCTTGTCTTTGATGGTCAGAGAGACATACTGAATTCATAGTCCCATGATATTCATGTTTAATTTTTAAAAATCACTTGAGCTTGAAGTGATACAAAGTAATACAAAAAAATTAATAAATCTAATTAAAAACAAAATAATAAAATATATCAATATTACACTGAGACACTTCAGTGTATGTTAATTTAATACCAATACGCCATGATAAAAGCACGACATCTGCAGACCTGAAATACATTGAACCAAACTTTTACAAAAACTTACTGTAAAGGTCACGGTTATATTCATTGCTATAAATAAGAAATAGTCAACAATATAATTAGATGACGGAATGAGTTCATGAGGTATTCTAGCACACGTGAGCCTTGAGACTGACCCTATCCCTTCGGAAATGAACAGAGGTTTGAAGTCAGGTGAACTGCCATGTAAATATCAATAAAATTCATGCTTGTAATTTGGGTGAGCATGTGCTTCAGTATGAAAAAAAAAAGACCTTTCCTTACACAGACATCTATTCTACAGTGTTTCTGATGGCATACAAGTATCTAAGTCGGTTGGCATTTATTAACTCATAGACATTTCATTCCATGGAAGACGACGAGGTCCAAGTTGATAGGCAGTGATAAGTAAAAATCAGAATTAAGTAATTCACATAAGTAAGCACAACTATGATCTGAGTGTAAGTTAACATTATCTCTTTGAATCTGATTACCAATGACACAGTGCAGTTGGTGGTATAAACTCCTGACACAATGCCAACATTTCATTTGACACAGCACAGTTGGTGGTATCAAATTGACACAACACCAACATTTCCTGCAACATTTCTCATATTGCATAGCCAAATTTTTGCTAAATAATGCTGAGTTCATGGAGTATTTTTTTAAAATCTGATCAAACAGCTGAACCAGTTGGGATTTAAATAGATATTACTCCCAACTGGTAGCTCTTAGGACACATTAGGGGTCTTTCGCAAATTATGTCACGCTCAGAGGGGGAGGGGGTGGGGTTCAAGAATTTGTAACACTTTGTGATGGGAGTGGGGTTCAAAAAATCTGTGACGTCACATCTAAAATTTTCAATTTTTTAAAACTTTATTCAATTAATTTTAAAAACAATTTTAGGTCGAATTTGGCTCAGGTATTATAGGTAACTTGAACCTCTGTCTTGCACATCTTTTGGCATATCGAAAAATGATGGAAAAAACTGTTGTGGCCATTTTACATTCGGCGTGGGGATGACTTCGTGGTTTCACGTCACAGTTTTCTAATAATACTACATCTTAATCCATTATGGGAAAATGTTAAAGAATAAAATAAAATCTTAGTTTAGTTATAAAAATTTTATGAATGTTTTGATTTTTTTTAGGTGTGTCGTGACACTAAAAAGGGAAGAGTGGGGTGTAAAGAATTTGTGTCACTTTGGAGGGGGGATCCTCTAAAAAGGTAATTTTTTTTGCATGACGTAATTTGCGAATGACCCCTTACAGTTTGTGCCACATTAAGTAATTTTTAAAACAAAGATTTAATTGAAGAAAAAATGACACTTTCATGATAGATGCAGATGATGGTTATTTGATTTGAAATATATATATTTAAAAAATGGTTCAAGATTATCAACTGAAATATGGATATGCTTGTAATGTATATTAATAGGTGCCACAATATTAGTGCTGGAGATCTTTTTTGTATTAATTATATGGCTTCTACCAAGAAGACGAATCCATGGAAAAGGGAAGTGCAAGGGACAAATGCTTCTTGGTTAAAAGATTTGGTATATAGATTCCCCCCCACCCCATACCCCCCAATAATTAATTTCCTTGCCATCTGTTCATAATGGTAAGGCTACATCAGAAGACAAACTGGCAATATATATTTAAAAAATATCATAGAGAGGTAAGATAAAATGTATAAATTATAGAAACCTAATCTGAGGTCAAATTAAGGCACAACTACAAGCAATGAAATCCAAATCATGGACAACTAGACAAATGGGAACATTAGAAGAACTCTTTGACATGAGCACACGAGATAAACAATCATGGCATCAGTCCCACACTAAACATCAAATAAGTTCTAATTATCTCCCCTAACTGGGAGAACTGCAAGAAACCCACATGGGCAAGGGAAGCCAGAGAATACACGGAGACGTGAGCTACAGGCAGACACAGAAAGTGTGGCATAAGCCTGGAACCAACTGGAAAGGAAAGCAGAGGACCAAAATAAATGGAAAACACTTAGACCCTGTGTTCCAGATGGGGTGAAAGGCATATAACATTTGGGATAGATTGGCCAGAGCTTAACTAATGGATTAACAGCTTCAGTATTTCCCAGTTGCTGTCTAACATGCAGGCTAGGATCAGATACAAAGCCACCAAAAACCCTTATAAAAATAAGAACTTGTATTGAAGCAGGGCATCCATTTCATTTTTCCAACCCTATTATTAGTCAATCTTAATAATAAAAGCATATGGGATTTTTATTTCTTTTTAAAATTTGTTTAACATGCAGAGAAAAATATCTGTACTGTTGTGAAATACATTCAGCTAAATGAAGCAAAGAACTGAATGTTTTAACTGTTCATTGCAAAAAAAAAATTTGAACTCTAATCCCTTTAAATATACCAAACTAAAAATGATAATCATAAATGAGAAAAAACTGTTTGCCTCACAACATGAAAGCTACATTTATTAAGCTTGGTGAAGTAATTATTTAGTTTATAGCGGATGCTGCCTGTGGTAATGTATAAACAAATCAATTCAAACTATTTACAAAAAATTACATAAAGCTGAATACATGAGGTCAGTCTTAAACATCTGAGGTACAAGGGAATAGAAGTTTTACATCACATTTAAAACATCTGATGTAACAGGTACTTCAACTCTGGCAAATAAAATGTTTTTATTGATCACACCCCCTGTGTTCTTCATCTTATCATTTGTCCATTAAGAGTTAGGTTTTGGCAGTTAATTCAAATCAGAGGCTCTCGAACCATTGACAAAAAGGGTCCAATTCAAGAGCCTCCCAGTTTATAAGGGGAATCAAACTAATGGGATTATTGCATAAAATTTTGGCTGTCTGTAAGACAGAATAAAAAATAATTTGTTGCCAAAGTCAAGACAGAAATCCACAACTTTTAAAGAAGGCTGCACACACAGACTTAAGCATTTTAAGAAACCCTGATTTTCTTTTTTTTAAATTAAGGACTCTTTTATGAATTCATGTTTTTAGTATAAAAAAATACATGTACATATTTGAATATCCTGATTTACAAATAGTGAAATAAATCACACGGTTCGGCTAGTTTATCTGAGTTCATTTGATAAAGCATCATTTGATTGTTATGTAATATAAAAAATTAATCCTCTATACTGTTAAAAGGGATTTTAAAAATTCCATTAAAACAACAGACTTTACATAGCTCTATTAGTTGTGTGGAGAATCCACATCAATCTAATTCTTCATGAAAAGTTCATTCATAATTCTAAAAAAAAAGGTTTAAAATGTAAGCAAATACCAAGTACTCATAGTCTTTCTTTTCAGACTTAATTAATTAATCCCATTAATATAAGAGACAATTTTCTGCTTTGATGAAATCTGATTTCTTAAATGTAAGGTTTTGAAAAACAATTTTCCATTCGCTTCATTGCAATGTTTTAAAAATTGAATAAAATACATTACTTAATTCCTCCAATTAAAGTAGACAGTGGGTATTCCTATCTCCCACTTTCATATCCTGGAAAGAGGCTATTTAAAATCTGGGACAAGGTTTTGTTGGGTGACATCCCATGATTTTTGTCGAGATCTGCTCGGCAAGCAGGACAGGAATACACCTCCGCTTTGAATGATCGTTGCAGACATGACTGTAAGATATAAAGGTAATGTTAGCAAAGACATAAAGGTAATGTTAGCAAAGATATAAAGGTAATGTTAGCAAAGATGACATGCAAAATGAGAACATTAAACAAACCCAAAGACTTATATGAAGTTTCTGTATTTTTAAAATTTAAATTTATGCTTAAAACTGATTTTTAAGACTGACATAAAGCAGATAATTTGCTGTTATTTGAAAGGTCTGAGTAGAAATGATGGCTTCAATGATACCTACCTTGCAAATATTGTGAGAACAGTCCAGTGTAATGGGTTTGCATACAATGCACTGACAGCAAATACAAAGAAAAACCTCTTCCACTTTATCATGGAATGCCTGCAGCATATAAGAATATATTTCTCATTAATAAAGAATTGCAATGGAACTGAGTTAACCCTTACAACTATATATATATATACCTTAAAGCAGCTATAAAAAAAATGAGCCCTATGCTTGTCCATCAAAAAGGGAAAAACATGAGAAATATTTATCTTCATATATAATATAATATACAAAAATATTACAAAATTATCCAATGTTTCCATTTTTTTACAATAAGAAATTCAAAACCTGCCGATATGAATGTGTCATATTAATATTAAAATGATTAAATTCTTTACATTTGGCAAAAGTTGGAATCTCAAAATGAATTGATAATGTAAATTTGTATATTTTCCTCACAAAAACATAACCTGGAGCTTTTTAAATTGTAAAAAATGAGCCCTGGCTCAACTAAAAAGAATGTAACTACATGATATCAAAACAAGGTATTGGAAAACTATTCGGCGGGCAAAGGCCGAACTCTGTAAGGTCGATGTCCAGCATCACTTGCTCGAGTGGTGTTACACAGGATTTTGCCTCTTCGCGGCATGCCCGACCAGTAGGGGGGAGTTTCCCTACTGAAGCTAAAAAATCCCAGCCAAACGCATGACTTCCAACGCGACGGAAGTTTGCACGCTAACATGATTACGTGTTGCCGATAATGGATATGAGGCATGAGTTTCTTTAAAAACCCTTGCCGGGGATTAAAAACATGCGGCCTTGAGAAAGCCGCTCCTAGGCGACCGTTTCGTCCCGACACAGTCCAGACCGAACCACTCCCCGAACGGTGGGTTGAGGTAACACAACGCCTCCCCCGGAGAGGAAGTAAAGCCGTTTTGACCCATGTCCACACAACTCCCAGGAACGGTGGGAGAAAGTTAAGCTTGTGACTACTCCCGGAGTGGAAGCAAAGCCATGCCGCACCAAGGAACGTATGGCTCCCTGGGCGGTGGGGGTGGCAACGCAACGTCATCTCCGGAGAGGAAGCAAAGCTGTTCCAACCCTACGTCCAGACCGTAAGACTCAATGGGCAAGGGGGGCTGTGACGCAAAACTGCCCCCTCATGAGTGGAAGCAACCTGCCCAAAACCCCGTTACTCAAGGCCGAGTTGCATGGCCGGAGTCCCCAGGGACTACTAGGCTATGTTCCACAGCCAAAGGTCCTAATAGATGGAATCTCGACCTCCAAGTATTGATCTTTATTATTATAGAAAAAACAGAGAAGGATAGGGACCCATTTTCAAAAAGATGGCTTCAGCCTTGGTATTTCTAGATCTCGTCTTAAGAAACTCTTCAATAAAATAAGAGCTTTTCATTGAACAGTCAATAGAATTATCAAATATTTAGCAGTAGTATTCCAAGGCCTCATTTTTTTAAAATATTTTTTTTAACAAGGACTTTTCATTTTGTAAAGCTACTGGTTAACACCAACTGAGATAATGGTTGCAGTCTTTAAGGCATTGAAATGTTAGTAGTTGCATTTGGACATTACAAAGAGTTGGACTTATAAAATCTTTCCTTAAAGGAATTTATAAAGAAATTATGAGTAAAAGTAGTTGCATTTGGACATTACAAAGAGTTGGACTTATAAAATCTTTCCTTAAAGGAATTTATAAAGAAATTATGAGTAAAAGTGGTACCGTAGTTAAAATTACCTTAGATCCCTCTTTGACAGCTGACAGTGCTTCATCCCACAACTTCTTGTTAACTTTGTCCTCAGCAATCAGCTTTTTTACACTGGCATCAAGAGAATAGCGGACCATTTTAATTTTCTTGCCGTCTTGTCTTGGGGATGCTTCACTTTCTTCTTCATTTTCAACTGAAAGGAAAATTGAAGGTTTAAAAATTCTCAAAGCTGCTTCACTAAATCTTTTTTGCTACACATGTTCCAGTGCAGAAATTTTCACCAAGTCAATCCTGTGGTAGGCCATGCCAATTTAAATTTCTTCTTTGATGATAACCCAGCATATATCAAATAAACTTCAAGCAGTGAATATTTTAGAATATGCTAATCAAAGCCACAAAAGGGCACATGGTCATTTAATGGTGGAGGACAAAATTAGGAAAAACATTTATTCTTACACAAAATACTCATTTTTGTTATTTTGTACACAGTCCTGAAACTAGATTTCTTGAAATAGATCTAGTTTAGCTTTAAAGAGGGTTTTTCAATAAAAGAAAATTGTTTTGGTTTTACCAAAGCACCGACCCAGCTTGGCATGCAAAGCATCGACCCAGCTTGGCTGGGCTCAGTACTAAAGTGCCCACTAAAGCCTAACTTTATTTTTCTTTCACCGCAAAATTAAGATCAAATAATTACACAAATTTGTGACAATAGAATAACCTGGTTTTTTCTGAGTGGACTAGTTTATTGGTGCCACTCCCGGTAGTCAATTTGAAATTACAAATGTTTCCAGAATAAAATTGAAACTGCCGACTTTAACCTCATGCTTATGTTGCCGCTTCAATCTTATTTTACTTTTAATGTTATTTAAATATGGGGAAATTTTTACCTTCTAATTTTCTCTTTTTCCCATTCTTTTTTGGAGTTTGATCAGATTCTTTCTCTTTTTCTTTCTCTTTTAAGCCTTCCAGATAGCCTTCAGGATACTATAGATAGAGTATCAAGATAAGAAAAGTTTTAAAAATCTGATTTAGTTCCTATTTCATAAATGAGTGGTATTGTGATAGAAACAAAACAAATAAAAGTGAGAACACTATGGTACAAAATTGCAGTATTATTAATAATACCCACCTGCATTTCCAGGCCCAGCTCTTCAATTCGTTTCTTGCCAGCCTTGGTCCAGGGTGCAGCTGTTGGGTCATCTCGACGCAGAAGATACCGCCATACAAGAAAGCCAGATTTACCCTTCTCTGGCCAATATTTAACAATCTGAATTTTTAGAGTTGTGGGGTTAGAATATAAATATCGATCTCAATCTATTAAATTTAATCTAAAATATGAAAACTGTGTACTATCCCTGAGTGTATTTTTTAAAACTATTACCTTATAAATTCCATCATAGCGGTTCCCTTCTTCTGGTGCATACTTGGAATGTTTTCTTCCTTTACAGTTACGTACAACCCTAACAGGCTTCCCACCTTTCCAGTCCTTGGCTTCAGCTCCCTTCTTGTTGTCTATCGGTGCATTACAGTTCTTGGCAAGAGCTCTACACACAAGAAATAAAAACATTCAAAGCATGTAATATTGTTGAACATTGGCTTAAAATATAGATTTAACTTTAATGAATTCAATCTATAAGAAATAAACTACAATAAGATAAATTAAACAACTGGTCACTTGAAAAAATAAATATTACTTGTTCATGCGTGTCAGAGTTTGATCACACGACTGCTCAGCAGTCCGTTTGTTCCCAGATAGATCTCGACCGCCACTTCCTGTGTAGTAAAACTCATCCCCATCATCCTAAATAAATAGGTTTGCAAAATAATATTCACCTATAATTAAAGAAGCAAATTTGTACATATACTACTTTTAAAAATGTGCATTCGATTAATTCAATTAGTTTTGTTATAACACTTCGGGTTCAAAAAAATATAAATAGAGAAAATGATACATTTTTGTTAAAATAGGTACATATAGAATTACTTACAGCATCATCTTCATATCCACCAGACAACACAATTGAGTAAGCCCCATCTTCTTCTCTTCCATGAATTCCTGCAACATGTGGTCTGTGTACTCCTGCTTCACTGACCTGGTTGGGTTATTTTAGACATTGTATAAATCCAAAAGGGTTAATTCCATTCTAACCTGAAAGTGCGGTTTCCGGTCTGGGCGGTCTACCATAGACATGGTGTTCTCCATACGACAGCTCCAGGAAAAATGCAGAGAGCAGCAGATGCCACTGTACATTGCCTTTGTGGACCTTACAAAAGCCTTTGATTACGTCAGTCGCAACGGGCTGAAAAATGCAGAGAGCAGCAGATGCCACTGTACATTGCCTTTGTGGACCTTACAAAAGCCTTTGATTACGTCAGTCGCAACGGGCTATTCAAAATACTGGCAAAAATCGGCTGTCCCCCTCACCTACTTGCCATCATCAGAGAGTTCCATGAAAATATGCAGGGTACAGTGCAGTTCGATGGAGCCAAGTCAGAAGCCTTTCCAGTAATCAGCGGAGTTAAACAAGGTTGTGTACTCGCACCAACACTGTTCGCAATATTCTTCTCTGTTCTACTTCGATACGCATTCAAGGATAGCAGTGAGGGAATCTGGTTACACACCAGAGCTGATGGAGGACTTTTCAACACTGCCCGCCTCCGAGCCAAGACCAAAACGACAGATGCCCTAATTCGCGAGCTACTATTTGTGGATGATGCGGCACTAACAGCACACACAGAAATTGGTTTGCAACAACTCGTGTCAAGCTTCTCCAATGCCTGCAAAGAATTTGGTCTGCAAATCAGCTTGAAAAAGACAAACATGGCCCAAGACACTCGACCTCCACCTAACATAAAAATCGATAATGAAAACTTCAAGGTTGTGGACAGCTTCACCTACTTGGGGTCCAAGGTCTCCAATACACTGTCCATTGAAGAAGAAATTAACAGCAAAATCTTCTTCTTCTTCTTATATTTGAGGTGCCCACGATCAATTTGTTGATCATTCTGGCTCCTGGTTTAAACTCAGAGTTTGCCTTCTCTTAGACAGGTTGCCGTCCAAGGCTAACGAGTCCCATCCACCCGGGTTGCTTGGGAATGGCTTTGGTGGGGATTGAACTCCAGACCACCAACTGTTTCGTTTGAGACAGTTTAGACCGCTCGGCCACCCAGCTGCCACAATGGCTAAACTAAATAAACGGGTCTGGCAAAACACCAAGCTAATGGAGAAAACCAAACTGTGCGTCTATCAAGCTTGTGTCATCAGTACACTACTATACGGGAGCGAGACATGGACCACCTATACATCCCAAGAGCGCAAGCTTAATAGCTTCCATATGAGATGCCTGCGTTGCATCCTTGGTATTAAATGGCAAGAAAAAGTGACTAATAGTGAGGTCCTAATGCGTGCGAATACCCAAAGCATGTTCACAATCCTTAGTGAAAGACGCCTGAGATGGCTAGGTCATGTTAAAAGAATGAGTCCCGGCCGCATTCCGAAAGACCTCCTATATGGTGAACTTGCTTCTGGAAAGAGGAAAACAGGTCGCCCACGTCTGGGATTTAAAGATGTCTGTCAAAGGGACATGAAAGCAGCCAAAATACATACAAGTGACTGGGAAGACCGATCTTCGTGGCGCACAGTTGTCAAAGAGGGCGTCATGGTAGCCGAGGAGCGAAGAATGGAAGAGGCTGCAGACAGAAGAGTTAGGAGAAAGGCCAAAACATTTGGAAGCACGGAACTCGTGTGTAAAAACTGTGGTAAAGACTGTCACTCAAGGATAGGACTGCACAACCACTCGAGAAAATGCAACCCAAACCAACGGTGATGCACCATCGTCTCACGAGACGGAAGGATGCCGATATATGAACCTGAAAAATTAAGTGCTTTATGGCTTTCTTTACTGGAGAAAGCATATTAGACGATTAACCAATGGTTTAAACATCAAATAAGCTGAATCAAATAAAAAATATAAACTGGTTTCTTTTAAATATTGGAATGAGCTGAATAAATGGAGATTTTAATAAAATTCTAAAATTAATGGAGATTTAGAAATAATTTTGAAACTCCAATCGCATTTACAGTTACCTGTACTCTAAATTTCCATAATGTCCCAACCTCAACACCTGGAATAGGACCATAATGATTAGATGAAACAATGGTGCACATCTTACTTCTACCAACACACGCCATTCCCTGAAACAAAATGGGACAGAGCACTTAAAATAAAGATGATTACACTATTAATTTGTTTATTGGATTATAATGTTATTAATAATTACTGGAATTTCTTAATGCCGTTTTAATTTCATTCAGAGGCCTTATATTGTATGCTCTTCCTACCTTGCCCCAATCTCTAGCACTTGTGCTGTTGGCTGATGCCATCTTGGCTTTCTTCTTGTTCACTTTTAATTTTTCTCCCATCCTGACAATGGCCGTTTCATCATTTTTACACTCTGGGCAATACCTTAAGAGTAAACAAAATATGTATTTGTACACCCAGGGCAATACCTTCACATAAACAAAAATATTTATAATGTTTCCAAAACTGGCAGTTAAAAATATGAATACTATCCTCCAATACAAAAGGAGGTAAAAATTAGAATAATAACAGTTTTCATTTGGTATAGCATTTAATTATTTATTACCTTACTACCAATAGGATATATTTTTAAATATTAAATTTTTTATTAATTAAAAAGAAATATACAAACCATTCATCTTCCTCTGGTACTTTTTCAAGAGGTGGGTCTAAACAATACAAATGATAGGCTTGATTGCACTCATCACAAAGAATGGTTTTCTCAGGGTCCTTCTTGTCACCACATTTAAGACAGCCACAGTGCTTGCATTTCTTGGAAGGATTATCATTGCATTTGTCACACTCAGGTTTGTTTTCACCTGAAAACAGTATGAAACAACATGTTAGAAATTCATACATACATGCAATTCATATGCAGACACGTAGATTTATAAAAAATATTTTTTTTTTAACAATGCAGGATTAAATATATTATATGATGGAGATATAGAAACTGAATGCTGAAGCAACTTGCGTTTTTCTACACTTGCAGTTGGATCCACTGTAATATCTTCCTCAGTGAGTTGAGTTCCAGGAACTTCTATTCCAAATAGTTCTTTGATAAATAGCAGTCGACAGTGGTGCAGTGGTGTTAGTTCTGTTCTGAAATTATATTTCACAAGATTGTATAACAAGGATGGAACAACCAGTAAAACTATGGCCGACAGAGAACTCGTACTTTCACATTAAAAATCATAAAGCTTTGCATAGAAATTTAATTATAGCAAACAAATTTCCAAAAATTAAAGAATATGTGATTTAGACCCAACCTGCAGATAATGATTCAAGTTTTAGATCAATACTTTTCAAAGAACCATGTGCTTTTGCTCCATTGTCTTAGAGTAACTTACCCCACATAAACAGTAGCATTGAGCTCCTTCACAGTTCTTGTATCTTTCTTCCCTGTTACAAAACAGTCATACCAAAATCCTCTTGTTCCAGGTTCATCATAGTTGTAATTAGCCATAATATGTTGACCTATATTGACATCTTCAAAGCGCAGAAGAGTCCGAGCTCTGGGCCTTATCTCTGTACTCAAAACTTTTAAAACATCCTCAGGATATCTTTTAATGAGAAGCAAGAAACTGTTATTATAAATCACTTTTAAGTTAAAATCTGTTACAAAATTGTCTTATAAATATTTAACTATGCTTTGCCTGCTTAGATGTTAATATTTGACTGCTTAAATGTTAATATTTGCCTGCTTAGATGTTAATATTTGCCTGCTTGGATGTTAATATTTGCCTGCTTAGATGTTAACAAGTGAGTTTTTTGTACAAATTCAATAAATATAAATATAGTGTCTAAACCCTGAATTTATTGTGAGCCATTACTCCATATATAAACAAATAATAAAAAATAAATAATATGGGACGAGCATATTAACAATGTATGTAACCAAGCAAACCAAGCCTTGGGGTTCTTAAGGCGAAATCTAAAGATTGGCAACTCCTGTGTGAAAGAAAGAGCATATAAAGCCTTTATCCGTCCGATTTTAGATTATGCATCTTCAGTCTGGGACCCATTTACCCAGAAGAGCATTGACAGGTTGGAGGCGGTCCAGCGACGAGCAGCACGCTTTGTCCTAAACCGCTACAGGAATACCTCTAGTGTTGGCAGCATGCTAGAAACACTAGGCTGGTCACCATTGGAGAAACGACGACGACAATCCAGGCTCTCCATGATGTACAAGATAAATAATGGGCTGGTCCACTGTTCCAGTATTAAACAGAAACTCGTCCCTCTCCCCCATAGACAGCGACGAGGCCATGACAGGCAATTCAGGCTCATACCAGCAAGAAGCCAGTATAGGAGCTGCTCATTCCTGCCCAAGACAATCAGGGACTGGAACCATCTTTCAAAAGGAACAGTTGAGGCGACAACACTAGACACATTTGTGTCTATTGCCTCAAGCCTTCAAACCCCTAGTGCATAATTTCCTCATCACCACCAGTAACAGAAACATTGCAAATCCCATCTACATGCATAGGAGCCAAAATGATAAATAAATTGATCGTGGGCCCTTAAGATATAGAAGAAGAAGAAGAACAATGCTTGATTCTGCTGGGTGCTGACCATGGCTAGACAGGGGTACTTGGGTGGGTGAGGTCAAGCTTTTCACAAACTGTTTTTAAATGTAGTCATTTCTGTTAATGCTAATTTTTATGTGAAGCGCAGTATATAAAACCACCTAATAATAATAATATGCAACTGTAAGCGTGTTAAGGGCATCCTGACAGCATTAGCAAGATTATTAACATGTTATGCCTTGCATTTTAGTTAACTTTACAATAAGGACAACTCTTTAACCCGGGAATTAACTAAAAAGTTATTTAGCAATTGTAATCTTATTTATTGCCTTTTTTACTCCTTGTGGAGACTAGGCAATTAACAATTTCTTTCCAATAATGAATACATCTATGTCAACATTTCTTCGCCAGGTGGTTTTTGCCTCCTGATAATCTTTCCCTATCTTGTGCATAATTTCCAGATGCCAAACTGGGTGATTTTCTTCAGATAAAAGGATGTTAGTCTCCCTTTCAGGTATGACAAAGTCCCCCATAATTCCATTTTTCAGGGCATCCTTTATCTGATGACGGCAAGGCATGAATTTGAAAATGATTTCATAGCAGTGTTTTATTTTACCCTGATGGGTCGCCAGCCCAATGCAGAAACCATAAAAGGTAAGTGCTTAAAAGAAGAACAGATTGTTACACTGACCAAACAATTTAACTGAAAAGGTTTATTGACAGTGACAGCACTTAATCATACAGACAAAAATTAAAGAAGGCAGAGACTAGACAAGATCCCTCCTCTCATTTAAATTTTTAAAATGAAGCAACTTACTTTTCAAAGCATATATGATAAGTAAATCCATCAGGGATTCCTTGATCTAATACTGGGGGAGGTTTCTTGCTTTCTAAACTTTTTTGAGGGTTGTCATTTTCATCTTTCATCTCTGACTTGGAAGATTTATCGGAGCCTTCATTTGTGGTAGAGTTACTACTGAGTCTTTTTTGAATCTCCTCATCTATGCCTTTCTCAACTTTGGAAATTTTTGCCTCAAACCATGCACCCATTGTCACATCTCTGGCGTCAACAATGTCACCAACCTATAAAGTATTTTAATCTTTAACTTTAATTATTAATACTAACTAACTAAACAGAAAATAATGATGAAACGGGCAACAAAATTACAACGTTTTGCACCTAAACAAGTGTACATCCACCCCAGATCTGCTGACAAGCTGTTCAGCAACCACCCACCTCAGCTCTGTGCCAAGATTTATTTACCATTTTTTCATTCACACAGGGATAATGTAACTATATCAGCATATAGATTGCCTTTCTCACACGTGCAAAGTGTTTGAACAGTCAGACTGAAGAGCTGATCACACAAGAAATCTCTTCAAAAAAGGGCAATGAGGAGCTCAAATCTCATCACACAAGAAGAAGACATGTCTTCAACAATCAACTGCAACAAGCATGAGCTGGCAGTAGTTAGAATTTAATACATAATGTATCCAATTAACTTCCCTTTATCTCTATGGGTGAAGAGGTGAATGATAGGTTGAACAATGTTTTATAGAATAAAAGAGGACCCAAATGCACTTCTGCAAGTGTGCTCACTATACTCCTCTACAGTAGTGAGGCATGTGCAACTCACAGAACTTTATCTGTGTCAAATTGTGGCAGAACTAAGGACCTAATACAGAGGTCCTGGAAAGAGGCAACATTTGCAGTGTTCTCTCCTCGTAGAGAGTAGCGCAATCCCTGGCTCTATCTCGTCTAGGAAAAGATAACAAGACAGAGAGATGGAAGGGGATGCACAACCAACTGTAGACCTTGTCTTTGTCTCAAGAAGGCGTATAAGAAAGATATAAAGGCAACCAGCATCAACCTAAGCACCTAGAAGGCTGTGCTAAGTCTGTTCCAGCTGACAGAAATTGCAGATGAGAAGCTATGCCAATGCCTCTTGAAGACACTGACAATGAATTTCAGTTATATTGCTCTCTGAACTTAAGATGGAAAGTTGTAACGATTTTGTTAATCTTATCTTTGCAAGATTTCCACCCTTTTTTGAATGAATTAATTGTCTTTTAACATCTTATGTACAGTGCCAACATTGGACATTGTGTTACCAACAAACTACACATTTATAAATTAAATATATATATTTGTTAATGAACAATGTCGCTAAGCTTATGAATAGATAGGATTTAATAGAGATATTTGGATTTTCTTTAAATTGAATTTTTTTTATTAAATTTGGCTCATAGTTTTGTGGCACCTTGAAGTATTGTCAGTCACCTAGGGGTGTCAAGGAGTCACCTAGGGGTTCCAAGCTCATTGGTCCCTTATAGTCATAATTCTTATAAGGACATGAAATGGACTAGATTGTGGTTGGTTTTAATAGTTTACATTTTAACAAAGTTTCTAAACTCATCATCATCATCACGTCCCTTAGTTCTTGGACCGTTGGGGCACCACAGATAACATGAAAACTATCCTCCATTCCTCTCTGTTTTCTGCACTTCGCACAGCATTGCCTAGTTTTAGTCCAGTCCACTCTTTGATGTTATCTTCCCATATTTTTATCTGTCTTCCTCTTCTTCTCCCTCCTCTCCTTGTGCCCTGCATGATTTCTAAACTACCTTGTGCCCTGCATGATTTCTAAACTATAAGTGTTTTTTAAAGCAGCAGTTTTTGCAGATGTCCATGTATACAAGTTTCTTAAACCACATCTTTATCTAATTAAATAACATAAATAAATATTAACCTTGTAAATGCTCTCTTGGGTTTCATCTTGGGCACTTGTAGAAGGTGTTCCTGATTCTAAAAGGGGCTATTAAAAAAAAAAAATGTAATAATAAAAGAATTTTTTTTCTTTTTAAATTCTTTAGCCAAAATGAAAAAAAAAGTAGGTATTGGAGAACCCTTCTTTTTAAGTAGAAGAATTTCCCAACATAACTTATTGTAAGTATGCTCAAGTATTTAATAATCAAAGTCTAGTCCTGCTACTGCTCTCTGATCAAGTTTAGTTACCCTAGAAGTTCCAGAAAGTATATTGCAATATTAAGATCATTAAGCTCCTTAACTGCTCACTCCCTAAGGTAAATGCAATAATGACCCAAAAAAACTTTATCCAGTTGTGCCTTGTGTAATGTAGGTGAATCATAATTAATGGCAAAAATTGTGGGTGGAAATGAGCAAACCATCACAATTTAACACTGTTTGAAAATGATTTAGTATCAACCTTATAAAAGTAAATTTAATAAAAAACATGATCGCATAATTATAAACTTGATTTCTGATCAAGATTGGTGCTGACCTTTGACCTTTATCTTTTAAACAGAAATAGCAACATAAAACAAACCTCTTTGTTTTCTTTGTCAGAGCTGCTACCATCATCTTCATTATTCTTTTCTTTTGTACCATCATCATCATCATCTTTATCAGGTGAGGATTGAGAAACGTTTTTTCTAACAAGGATTTGGATGAGATCGTTTAGGCCAACATCATAGTCATAAAGTGTGTGGCCATCTTCCATCTCAAAAATATATTTAGATAGGTTAAAGTACATAGCATTTACAAAGATAAACACATGAAAATCTGTTTTATTTAAACTAAGAATTTGAAGAATCCAAATTCATTAGATCCCCATTTCAGGTAAATATGTGGGGCTCAAGCTCCTTGTTTTTACTGTAGGGCACGGGAGGGTTATGGCCAGTGAAGAGTGTAAGTAAGTGGGGTGGTTACAGGTGGAAATAGAGGCAAAGTATATGACTTGATGGAGGATAGTAGAAATAGGGTAAGCAATGAGAGGAAGAATTTGGAAATAAGGGGTTGGGATAATGGAAGACAAAGGGGGGGTTGAGGTGGACGTGATGATGATGGTGAGGTAAAAGGGAAGAGCGGGGCAAGAATGGATAAAGTAAAGGAGGGAGAGTGGAAGGAAAGGTATTGGGTTTTTTATTAGTTTAGTAAATGGGGAATTCATTTCCCCTCTTAGCCAATGTTCAAGAGCAGATTGATGACTTTAAGTGCTGTTAAAAGTACTTCTCTCTTCACATATAAAAAATAGAGGGAGAAGCCTCTAAATCTTAGGATGCTCAGCCAGCCCAAGAACCTTTAAAAGAGGGTTCAAAAACAGAACTTACAAGTGGACTTATTCATAATAAACTAAACACATATTGCATAATGCAATGACTTAAACAAGTACTTACAAGCTTAGAAATTGCCAACTTTAACACATGGAATTTTACATTAAGAATCAAACTGGATATCTGACAAATTCTGATATTAACAGCATTAAAAGAAGCTATGATATGCCTACAAATCTAAGACTATCAAACACAGGACATTTATTTCTACATTCAAACTGAGATTGAAACAGGATATAATCAGAAATTGGGTGGACAAGATGTTATTCCAGGACTATAGTAAGCATAACTATAAGTGAATAAGGTCTAACTGTTTGGTCTAGTACAAGAAGACCCTCAGAAGTTTCATGGAAGTGGTGAGGTTGGTGGCAAGTAGAGAATCATAAGTTTAAAGGGGGTAGTACCAAGGCAATCCTCTGAACACCAGTCTCAAATTCAATACAATAATAAAACACATCAAATGAGAAGTTACTTTGGCAACAATATTTTACCAATTTCATTGTCAAATGTGATTTTTGTCACTCAACAACTTCAAGTACTGTCAAAAATCGTGTTTATTGTGGCTAAAGTTAAAGTGCCACTGGAAAGTACACAAGTAGCTTGGAAACATGCCATGGCATGTACAACCTTGTTGAACAATTATTGTGACACTCAATTCGGAAAAAGTTGTAGTTTACAATGGTGTCCCAACTTTCCATGCTTCAAAAAGCGTGACATGCTTTTATTTCACTATGTGAATCCAATATAAAATCATCATGATTGTCTGTGTGCTAGCCCACAGTTTAAAAAAAAATGTCCTGGTAAGTATACTACATGTCACATTGCACTGACTGCATTTCCATGGGTGACCGTCAGGTGACTCAGCATGTCAGACTAAAGACATGGGACATTGATAGTTATGAACAATGTTCCCTATCTCACAGATGCCGCGCAGCAGTTTTGAGTATCAGCGCAGCAAATTTTTATAAAAATAAATTTGAACAATACGCTGCAGCTGGAATTATACAGTGTCGCTGATCGAGGCATGAGACAAGAAGCCGCACAACGTAAAAGTGCTAAAGAAGACCAGGTTAAAATTTTGATTGACAACGTCCTCTTGGCTATCGACATGAACACAGCTATGAATGCGGTTAAATACATACACAACCATATGGCTAAGTATGCCCCAGTTCCTGATAGCTGGCACAGTAAGAATCACGCTTTCGCAATGCAAAGTTCCACACATTAACAGTAGATGAGATCACTGAAATGTCATTGACAAAAATGTTGATCTTATACATAAAGTTTCGGCCATATCCCGGTAATGTTTACAAGACAGTGTTTATTGGAATTTTGTCTCTGTCGGCATGTGACAGTAAATCTGAGCAATAACAGAGTTTTATCAAGAGATTTCATTGGACATGCAGAAAATGGTTATGCTTAGCTCTGATGGTGAATCGATTATGCTATGCAAGAGTATTGGAGGTGCAGCAATTTTTCACCGACGTACTTCACCGGAACAACATTGCTTGCAAACATATACGTTTAATGGCAGACATTAAAACATTGCTTAGGACCATGTACACATTGTTCAGTAGGTCGACAGTACAGAAAGCCCAGTTCACCGAACTAGCCAAGGTGTTAGAAGGGGATTTTGTAGTCTTTAGCCCATTGAATGAAATCAGATGGCTTTCGTGGCACCTTGCCTTACGAGCATTGCTGAGAAACATACAAGTGTTGACTGAATACTGTGAGGAGCAGGGGAGTCTTTATAATGATCCAATTCATAGATACTGTTTGAAGAAACTAAAGGATCCGCAGTTTCACACTGTGCTAATTGTCTTTGATGAAGTTGTTGGTGAACTTGCTGAATTATGCAAGCTGCTACAAAGAACAAATCTTACGACCATTGAGGCGGGAGGCATACCAGTTGGTAAAAGCAAGGATCGCTAAGCTTCGTGCCCATACCTTGGTGAAAATGTGCCCTAGTCTGAAAAGGTTGCTGCATTGCTTGCAAATGACGAGGATATAAACATGAGTTCCATCCTTAAATTCGTTGAATGTTTATGTTTGCACCTGGACTCTCATTCGCTGAAAGTGAGTTGACACAATGTCAAATCTTTGAGATATCACCCTTAAGCGACACTTCAGATTTTAATACTTGCCAAGAAGAACTTGCAGCACTGGTTTCTAGATATGCTGCATTCAATGAAAACGACAATGACATTGTGCCGAAAGTTAAGGATCAGTATCGTAACTTAAGGTTTGTGCTTGCAGAAAAAATGAAATGTGGCTTGATGAAAAATTTTAGCGAGATGGTTCGATTTGTAAGAAATGAGGAGCAATTCGGTGAAATTGCCATACTGTTGAATATGTGTCCTACATTTCTTACATCAAGCGCAGATTGTGAACATGCATTTAGTCCAATGAATAATTTACAAATAAAATTTAGAAACAGGCTGGAAGAGTTACATTTAGACATGCTTATGAGGATTAAATCGTATCAGAATGATGGACATCAGATCAATCTTGAAAATGTGTATAACAGATGGATATCGTTGAAAGAAGACGCCAGAGACCCTCCAAAAATGAGTCAATCAAATGACTAGCGGCCTTTGCCTTTGGTAGTGGGTGTGTAGGAATTTAGTTCCTTGACCCAATGACGGGATAAATAATAGAAATAAATATAGCTTTGATTGAACTGTTTTGTAAACATTTCTGATTAAAATTATTTAATTATAGTTCCTTTTATTTATTTATGTAAATGTTTCAAAACTTAAGTTCATTTATGTAATATCCGTGTGTGTTTTTGGGCTGAAACATTTTGCACACAAAAAATTGATGCTGTAAAACTTTGCACACAACTGTATGATTTTGCACACAACTGTATGATTTTGCACACAACTGTATGATTTTGCACACGAACCAGCAAACCTTAGAGAAACATTGGTTATGAAATGGTGTTCAGTAAGCCACTCTAACCAAAGTATGGTCATACAATGCCTTCAGCGTTGTGTTGTAAATTTGCCAATGATTCCTGGCAAAAAATGATTTGCAATATGAACCTATGAGTTCTATGCTTGGGGTCTGCTGGCCATGGTATTAGTATAATACTAGTATTGTTTATTTTATTACAATAACAGGAAATTAATCTGCAAGACAACTCCATTTATTCAGAAAACAATTATGTCACCATTTATCAAGGTCTTCTGGCACTTTCTAATGAAAAGTATACTGCGGAACACTTAGAAAGAATGCCTAATGACAAAGGAGTAAGAGAGTGCACCACAAAAACCAGAGGAAAACAGCTCAAAGGCAGACCTAGGCTTAGAAGGATGGATGATGATGTAGAAAAAGATCTACAACAGCTGGGAATCAAAACAGGGATCAGGCAGACCTAGGCTTAGAAGGATGGATGATGTGGAAAAAGATCTACAACAGCTGGGAATCAAAACAGGGATCAGAGAAAAGAAAAGCATCAGGCCTGAGAGGAAGGAAGTGGTGAGGCTGGCCAAAGTCCTACAAAACATGACTACATGGCCTGGGCTGTCAAACCACAGTGATGGATGTTCTGAGTTACCAACGGCAATGGCGATACCATCATTACTAATTATAGGTATCATTCACCATGCATGCGATTCACTTTCATACCTGTTTTCCGCGAAAAAAAAGCCGTTGTCTGTCAGGTTCAGCTTCAAATGGTTCAATCAACCGCTTACGCAGATCTTCGATCTTTGTGAGCTTACTAAGATCATCAACACGAACTGTTTTGGTTCCATTAATGGACCTAACTTGAATCCACATTTTGCAAAGTATTGTGATTGGGCACCTTATATGATTAATTACACAACAGTTGTTTTTAACACTCAATTATGGATTCCAAATGATTATATATTTATAAAAGAAAGCTTAGGACTCCAAAGTGTCTCGTTTCGCTTTCTCACATGTGGAGATGGCGGGAAATTAAGCGACTGTAATGTAAATACTGTAATGGAATCGAGTAAATCAAACGTATCCGATACTAACTAACATTTTCATGAAATGTTGAAGTTAAAATAAGACACTTTTTAGAAAAAATTGATAAGCGCCAGTTATATGGGCGACTAACATTTGCTTTTCTGGATGTACTTAATGGAAGCACATATTTGATTATAAATTTTTTGTTCGATTGGATATAAACACTTTTTAAAAGGTTTTGTTAGTACGAAATTTATAAAAGTATAATTTATCATTATCGCCATATATTATTTAATTTTATCATCATATTAATTTCTTTTTTATTCAGGAAATAAATTGACATCAAAAATTTTGTATTATTATTGATATGTCTTATGATAATATTTTTGAAATTAACATGTACATTTTTTTAAAAAGTATTCCTTTCACTATGTAACTTAATTAATTCGTTAATGTTTTAACTAATAAAATCATGTGACGAGGTACCTAAATTTAATCGAAATTTTAAAAGAGCTAACAAAATTTTCGTAAACTTAAGTCTTCTAACCAATTCAGTACATTACTAAATTATCTCAACGAAAATTGTAATAATGTTAACATATTGTAAAGATTACACATGAATTAAATGGAAATGTAAAACAAATCGCACAGCTGTTTAGTAGCATGACCTTTGACTTATAACAACATGGCGGATCCCAGAGGCCCTCGGTTATTAATCGACCTCAACAATATATTTAAAAGGGATCCAAATATGTAAGCTGAAATTTAAGTTAAAATATATTGCATCAATTTGTTCCCAATTGACCACCAGACATTTATCACTGACTTAGCTGATGACACAATGATGAGCTGCTAGCAAAACAGAGAGTAGAGTGTTTTTTCTGTTTTATTTCCCATTTCGTTACAATGTTCAATGTATGTATTATGTATGTAATGTAATCACATTCATTCATGATTCATTGTGTGTGTGAACTGTCATTGTTTTGTTTTTTTAATATTTTTTTTTTGAAAATCATGGTGCCCTAAGTTAAGTTATTAGTCATCTAAGTCTATACTAAATGATACTATAACTATAACTATAAACAAAAGACAAATAAACAACCAGCAATAGAAATATTATACTGATTAGTATTTATTAATATTAGATTAGAAATACAGAATCAGTAGAAAATAAAACATTTTTCTTTGGACTTTGGGATGAAATTCATATTTTAAGCATGTATCATATTTTGTATTAAGGCCTAAACCTAAGGGTGCATAAAGTGTACAAATATGATGCAGGGATATTACTAAAAACACAACACAGTATCAGTAGTGTCAGTGTGAAATTTCAATAAATTTGTAAACAAGGAGGAATAGGATAGGAAAATATCAATCAAGAGTGTCAATCTCAGAGATTGAGTCATACTCATACAGACATATATTATTAATTATTATTCTTAATAAGTAAGAGTTCTCTGATCATTGACAATCCTATTTGTCCTATATTCTATATCTATTGGGCCTAATTTGAAAAAAAAATCCTTCACAAAATTGACCATTGATTGACAGTTATTCTCAGAAAACAATGTAAATTTGAAGATGAACTTTCAATTTAAATGGAAGTGCAACTAGTAATGGACATCAATAAAAGTATAACTGTTAAGATAGCACTTCAATCTGGAAACAACCTGATTTTTTAACAGCCGATGCTGAAGTTTTAGATTACCAAGAATTGCTCTAAGTAGTCTAAGCATAATACAAGATGGGTAGATCTTCCATGTTCACAGGCGTAATTTAAATTTTAAATTAACTGGGATGAACGTTGCTGCTTCATCATAACAAAAATTATGAACAATTTGTATTTTATTTTCAGCTTAATAATGGGATGATGTACAATAATTTAAAGTATTCCGAAAGGTGCAAAGGTCAAGTGAATAATCCTAACTCAATGATTATTGGGAAGAAATGAACGCTGATTATTCACTCAGACTTTATTTCATTGATCTTCTTCTTATGCCTTTTTACCACGTCTGGGGCATAGGTCATCTACAAGAATTTTTCAGGTGTATTCCATGCCCATACTTTGCATGTTTGCCTCTAGCTCACGTCGCCCTGTATTCTTTGGCTTTCCTCTCTTTCTTTTTCCCTGTGGATTCCATGTTAGGGATTGTATGGTGATGCTATCTAAGGGTTTTCGGAGAGTATGCCCTATCAACCTTGATCTAGTTCTGCTTTCTCTAGGCCTCATTGAACTCTGTCTTGTCTTAACTACTAGGCCTATCTTTGAAATCTAAACTATTTAGGGCTAATAACTAGTTTATATTTCAATATACTAATCATTATTTTAATAAGTCAGTTCATTAGTTGCATTGCCATTATAAGGATACAGGCATAATTATGAGTAACTTTTTTTGCAAAGTGGGCTCATTATGGTATTTCCACATGGAGCATTTTAAAACTGCCATTTTGTGATAACTATATCAATTTTTAATATATTAAAATTATCTGTCAACATGGCTTCCGAGTCAATAGGTCATGTGAGACCCAGCTTCTCGAATTTGTAGAAGACTTGATGACCAATCTAGAGAACCACAAGCAGACTGACGTGCTAGTAATGGACTTCGCAAAAGCATTTGACCGGATGAATCATAGTTTGCTTCTACACAAACTCCAGATATATGGGATTCAAGGCACCACTAAAACATGGATCTCTAGCTTCCTCAGCCACCGACGCCAAGCAGTAGTGGTGGGCGGTACAAGCTCCTCCTTTGTCAATGTGAAGTCAGGGGTCCCCCAGGGATCAGTCCTGGGCCCCTGTTTGTTCCTAGCATACATTAATGACCTACCGGAGAAACTGACATCACAGGCAAGACTGTTTGCAGATGACACAGCAGTGTATAGGACGATCGCCAACAGATCTGACCAGGACCAGCTACAACAGGATCTCAATCTGTTAGCTGAGTGGGAGATGAGCTGGGACATGGAATTTCACCCTGCCAAGTGCCAGACACTATCAATCTCTAGAAGTTGTACTCCTCTACACTACCAATACAAACTGCACGGCCATATTCTTGAGCAAGTTTCCTCCGTAAAGTACCTGGGTGTTACCATTCAAAGAGAGGTCCGCTGGGACGAGCATATTAACAATGTATGTAACCAAGCAAACCAAGCCTTGGGGTTCTTAAGGCGAAATCTAAAGATTGGCAACTCCTGTGTGAAAGAAAGAGCATATAAAGCCTTTATCCGTCCGATTTTAGATTATGCATCTTCAGTCTGGGACCCATTTACCCAGAAGAGCATTGACAGGTTGGAGGCGGTCCAGCGACGAGCAGCACGCTTTGTCCTAAACCGCTACAGGAATACCTCTAGTGTTGGCAGCATGCTAGAAACACTAGGCTGGTCACCATTGGAGAAACGACGACGACAATCCAGGCTCTCCATGATGTACAAGATAAATAATGGGCTGGTCCACTGTTCCAGTATTAAACAGAAACTCGTCCCTCTCCCCCATAGACAGCGACGAGGCCATGACAGGCAATTCAGGCTCATACCAGCAAGAAGCCAGTATAGGAGCTGCTCATTCCTGCCCAAGACAATCAGGGACTGGAACCATCTTTCAAAAGGAACAGTTGAGGCGACAACACTAGACACATTTGTGTCTATTGCCACAAGCCTTCAAACCCCTAGTGCATAATTTCCTCATCACCACCAGTAACAGAAACATGGCAAATCCCATCTACATGCATAGGAGCCAAAATGATCAATAAATTGATCGTGGGCCCTTAAGATATAGAAGAAGAAGAAGAAATATCGTGGCATAACTCCTCTTCTCAAATTTCAATCCCTTACCATGGATATATGTTGTTTTATATAATAATATTGAATAATATAGCAATTTAAAAGTTTGTTCTTTCACTATGGCGTACTTAATAACCTATGTGCAGAGTGGCTGTTTTAATCCATTGGAATTTTAGGCTTTCAAGTGCTGTCAAATGCTATTAATTTTCTTTGCTTTTATCTTGTAGAGACGAATATGATATTGTCCCCGTTCTTGAACCAAAACATAACAGATCTCCATTCTTCTTGCAAGAGCATAAGCTTGGAGTAGAGGCTTGGGCTGTCAAATTGCTAATGAAATATTCTGTTAACAGACTTATTGGATGGCGCGCGCAGAAACCTTCAGAAAAATTCATTGGTATTTGTGCATTTTTCTTTCAGATTATCTATTTTTCAGTTTCATAAAAAAATATTTTTTAAAGAGTGTTTTACTATTTATCATTGGATAAGTAAATTTGCCCGACGTCCTTACAACTTATGCAATTTTGAAGCTGAATATATTTACATGTATGTTTTATATTTCTGTTCTGTTTCAGATCACATGGAAGTTTCACATTTGACACGAGCAGTGCTTTTGTTCAATCCAGACAACTATACAGCATGGAATATAAGGTATTAAATTTGTTACCTACTATGCAGTGTGATTGATATATTAGCTTTGACAATAAGTTATAATTTTCTTTCTATTAATGTAGACTCTTAATTTTTGTCCAATTAAAATTTGTTATTGTTTTTACTTCTAGAAAGAGTTATGGAGTGATTTTTACATCCCTTATTGAATCAAGGGAAATGAATTGGATGAATGAGTAATAAATTTTAGTTTTAAAGTGATAAACTTTATAAACACTCTCTTTTTAAATCCTTTATATTAACTTCACTTTTGTTTCTGTGTTTCTGGCTGGGTGGAAAAATCTTCGGAAGGCTAATTGACCCACTTCTCATCAACCTATCAGCTGAAACTTAGCACATAGACTCGTTGCCGATGACCACACATTCTATCAAATTTTCAGCCCTAACTCGAAAAAAAAACCTGTTTTTAGGGGTTGTTTTAATTCATCTAGATATTGAAGTTATTAATTTAATATTTTAATTCAGCTTTGAATTATTTTTCCATTGATATCAATGTCTAGGTTATCAAACTGTCATTTATAACATTATTAATATTTACCGTCAGCTATATTCATATTTTTTAGTACCAGAATTTCAATCGGTCCAAATGCAAGCAAAAACTCAGTAAATTACATAATGCGATAAGTCATCCTTAGAGTTACAGTGTAAGCTGAATCTCAAAACTTCATTGCAGAAAAATTCCATTTTATAAGATTTACATTATTCTTTTATAATTTGATATACTTTTTTTTTTTTTTCAAAGCCTCTTAGTCTTAATGGTCTTTAAAAATGTTGCAATTATTAACAACTGAAAAATGAATTTTGATTAGCATGCAAAGGTGGACATCACCAGTTAAGCTTGCTGAAATGGGATAAGATTGTTAAAATGCCTCTCTTAAATATCAGTATTTCAATTCTCATAATTACTTAGACTTAGTCAGTAAATCATTTTAAATTATGGTAACTTAAATTTAGAATTGTTTCCCTTGAATCAAAATTTAATACTTAAAACTTTTGCAGGAGCTTTGCAAAGAATTGAGATAAAAATCTAACTAGTCTTTTTATTTGTTATCTAAAATAGGAAAGAGCTAGTAGAAAGTGGATACTTAAATTTGACAGAGGATCTTGCATTCGGAGTACTTATACTCACAAAGCATCCAAAAAGTCCTGAAACATTTATCCACAGGTAAAACATTTTTATAAAGAAATTGGCCTATCCAGTTATAAAATGCTCTTGAATGTTGTTTGCTTCAAATTGTCTTTGAGTGTTATGTTGATTCTCAATACTTGTTCTTATATGTTATCTAAACACTGTATTTTATTTAAAAATTGTTTTTGCTTCTCAGTTATAATTAGCTTTGGGTGGTTTTAGTTTGCACTGACTTTGGTAAGAAATGATTCAGTCATTTGCTTCGTTGCATCTCATTTTAAAATAAATCATAGGTATTTGAACAAATGTTGGATCAACATAATAATGTTCACATATATTTTCAGACGGTGGCTTTTCCAGCAGATTTTAGACCACTGTTTGTCATCAAGCTCTGGAAGTAATGCATCCTGTTCAGCTGCAGCAAATGTTGAGTTTTTTGTTAATATGGATTCAATCGATATAGACATTAGTGCACCCTCTGACTCTGACCTGGCCTTGAACATAGACTTGTCCCTAGAATCTAGTAGGCTATTGAAAACGCATACTCAGTCAGAACTGGAAGTCACCTCACATGCAGCTGAGAAGTATCCTTGCAATTATCATGCTTGGTCCCACAGGATTTGGATTATTCAGCACTGTTTGAACTGTTCCTTACAGGTAGAGCTGCTTATAGTTATTGTTTTTACCACATATTAATATAAAAATATTTTGGTTAGAATGGGGCATTGTTTTGTGACATGGGCACATGGTAGTTCTGTTTTGGCAATGTCAGTCTTGTTTGTGTTCATGCAGTGTCCATACTAATAGTATCTTTATAGGATGTTGCTCTCAGGCTTGGAAAAGGGGAAATAAGCAAAACAAAGTATGGGAAAACCTGAAATAAAGGACACAGCAAAATAACGAAAGTGTAGGCAGGAAGCCTTCTTCAGTGAACAAACAACAGTAAAAACATTATAAAAATTAAAATAAACACTTAGTTTCAGTGTAGTACGATGGAGGACAGGAAGTGGATTGCGAGAGAACATAAGTAGGTGAGAGAGTTAATACAGACAAAATGGGATGGAAAAGAGGAAAAATAAGTCCACTGCGATTGGTCGTAAAAAGGGTGGGTGGAAGAAAGGTTTAACAAGTGAATGAACCATGACATTCATGCCATGTAGTGAACTGAGCATTCTTGTTTTGAACAAAAAGTTTTTTTCCAGGATTTCAAAAGGTTGAATATGAGACTCGAATCATTTTTCTTTATTAATTACTTCTTGGATGGGAGAGATGGGGAAGAAGTTTGCTAGTACTGATTAGTATCTATACTATTATTCAGAACAAAGTTAAAGAAAAATTGTAAGAAAAATGTAAGGAGCATTGTTATTTAGCTAGCTAATGTGACAGTCTTCAAATTGCTGGAATTTCAAAAACTGATATCTTTTGATGATATATTGTAAATAAAAAGGTATAGGGAGCACAAGGTATTTGGTAAAATAATAAAAAAATAAAATAAAGGAATCTTAGCCTGCAGAAAGTTAGAACTATTATATATGGCAAAGACAGAAAAGCAGCCTTTATTGGCTGTGGATGCTACATCCTACAAGCAAAGTTTCTATTTTAAAAGTTTTATTATTTCATTTTATTTATCTCTTGTTGCTGAGTAAGGCTTTTTAGTATTATCAGATTTAGTGCGTTAGAAGATTTTTAAAATGTCAAAAACCACTCTGCTATAAGGATAGGGCTAATTTATAATGTCTATTGTTTAATCCTTGTTATTAAATGTGTTTGTTTAATCTTACCTAGGTACTCCTTTCAGAACTAAAATCCACAGAATTATGGACATCTACACACATATCTGACCACAGTGGTTTTCATTATAGGCAGTTTCTTCTAAAAGAATTACATGCAAGACAAGGGAGATTACTTTCATCATATTCAGTTAACTCTACCGAGCTTTTTATGAGTGAGATGGCTTTTGTTTGTGATCTTATACAATCTTATCCAGGTCATGAAGCTTTATGGTACCATAGGTTGGTAAACATTTTTATTATACACATCAATCAAGGATGTTTCTCTATCATTCATTCATTCATTAATGTAAGAAGAAATACAAGGTAAATTTTTGAGTGAGAAACAAAACAAAAGCAAGCGAGTATTTTGGCTAATACACCACCACTCTAAAAAGACCAAATAAAGTTTGATGTGATTTGCAAAATACTAACTGCACAGTTGACTTGATTTTTATTAAACTGGCATTTGTATGAGTTGAATTTGTATGAAGAAAGGGTTCACATAATTTTAAGTACAGTAATAAAAGGAATGGTAACAGTTAAGTCAATCTAATTTTTGAAATATCCAAGAATTCTGTATTTGCTGTTGATCTATAACTTTTTCTATATGTAATAAAATTGGTTAAGACCTATCAAATGTGATGGAAAAAGGTCTTATTTTAATTACAATATTTGAATTTAAATTGTAACATTAACAAATGCTGAATAGCTTTATTAAACAACAACAATGAATTTTTGTTTGTATTTACTTATACTTAGAAATTATATTATTAGATACCGGTATTCTAATAAGTTACAATTTTCTCTTTATTAGTTGTAATGAAAACAAATTTGTTTCTGGTTTTCTCTACATAGCTATTATATTAAAAATAATAATTTTTCTAAAATTGTTTCACTTTTCTTCTTATTCATCTTTAAATGCAGGCGATTCCTGTTCCAGACCATGCTAAGTGCTGAACATTTAAATGTAAAACTAAAGCTCCAGTTGCCAGGTTTTTATGGCCACATCCATAGCTCAGGCCAAGTGGACAGTGGCAATTTCAAATCATTGGTCATTGCTCAAGAAATTGACGCTGTTACGATTCAGGAACTATCCAGTATGCAGATATACAATCAGGTGCTTGTCAAGAAATATAAACAGTGGGTTCAGACACTAATCTAGTGTTTATACTTGTATTATTTATTGTATGTTTTTTCTTTGTAAATAATTTAACTTCATGTTAAAATCTAATTTATTGCAGCTTTTTATTTATTATCTACTTAATTGCTGTCAGGTCTTTTACATGTGCATCAGGAAAATTACCATCAATTTCCATCGGACATTACACGACATAATTCTTGAAAAAAGCACACACAAAAATATTTTCAGTTCCCAGCTAGATATTACATCAACAAGCACATCAAATTTTACCTGCTTTTCACTTAATAATTGGAGGGAACTTCATATAATATAAGGGATTCAGAACTGAATCAAAATGATTTTTACTTTGAGCTTATGATGCAGTACAACTAATCAAAATAATTTTTTGACAATTATTGGATTAACAAATTTTCATTTATGAAATACTTTATATTTAGATTATCAGCCCGGGTAGGAATTTTAGACCTCACAACCAGTCTGATAGGGAAGAAAGTTACACTAAAGAGGTGACAATTTCAATTATAAAACCTCTCATGTTTACATACATATCACCTTTATCAAGTAAAAACTATGGCAAACTACATTAACTACATAGGCTATCCAATTTTATGAAAAAAACCTGATCAAATTGATTTTTGTGTCATTCTAGTAATAGTACCAATATTATCTATCTTCATAAGTAAAAAGATGCAGTTGATCTTTTAAAAAAGCACCCCCAAAAAAAAAACTGTTAGTATTCAAGGGTTAAAAGCCTAAACTGGTTTTTTTTTTATGGTCATAGGAAAAGCAGACAGCTGTTATTTTTATAAATAAAAATAAAAGAGAAATTTATAATATGTATTTATAAAAATTTTTGTGACACTTAAGATTTGAAAAAGTTTATATTTTGGATATGCTATTGTGTTTCTATACTGTCTATTGTCTCCCAGGGGAAGAATTTAGTAGGTTTAGGGAGGTTATGAAAATTTTAATAATCTATATATCTATATATATAATGTGCCGATATTAATTATAGAAATAAGTGATTGTTAAGAATACTTTTAAAATAAGGGTCGCCAAACATTTTTATAAAAATTGGGTCACATTAACTTATGAGCATTTGAAAAGCACTGATGACCAGAAATTAGAGAAGCTTGAACATTTCCTAAAATTCAGCCTCACACCCTCTAGTGATGTAGGGACAGCCAGTAAGACACTAGACAGTGATGGTTATAATCTGGAGTGCTATTTCCTCAACCCAGGAGATAAACAGTTCCAGTATAGATGCTAATCACAGCACAAAAAGCATGACAAAGTCTGAGGTGCTTGGCTATTGTCTCGGTGCAAAAAATGTGTAAGACACCAGAATTAATGAAATCATTATTAACTAACTAAAACATAACGATAAAATAGTATTCCAAGTTGAGGTTATCTCATTTTGAATCTGGCTTAAGACTACAACACTTGTTTTCTAGCAAGTTTATTTCTGTATTTAATCCAAGTACTGGTAAATATCAACATAAAGACTATTTTAAAAATCGATGAAAATTTGGCAGCATTTTCGATATTTGTTTTATTGAAGAGCATTGACAGTATTATGAATCATGGTCTGGTGGTATTTAGAAAATCATATGTAGTAAGTTCTTTTACTTTTATTAGTAAAGCACTTGTAATAAGAAACCATGTTCATATCATTGGTATTGTCATAATCATTTCATTTTAAATATCGCAACAAAAACTAAAGTTTTAAAAATAATAAACAAAATTTAATTAATCAAAGAAAACGATTAAGGTTTGCAAATGTTATTTCATCCACTTTTTTTTTAATTGGCACAGAAATGCAATAAAAAGACTTTGTAATGGTTAATTTCATCCATACAAACTGTAGCGTTACATGTATTTTTATTTTATTTGCTATTGTCATTAGTGACACACCTTTGCGTTATTTGTTAATTTAGTATGTTAATGTACAGCTTAACAATGTTTAATGTTGAGTTTTATTAGTTATTAATATGAAGACAAGTGTTTGTCAATTTCAACAACAACAAAAAAAGAGTCCATGACGTGCCAGTAAGACCCACACATGCCCCATTTGAAGCCAAACTATTGTAAGTGTGTGTTGGGGGAGCCTCAAGAACTATCAGAACAAACAGATTACTACTAATATATTTATTTTTATTCATCCCCTATAACATCTTTTGAATAGGGCTGTGACTTGTATGATTTTGTTACAAATTCTTAAAATATCATATTCTTATATTACCATTTCTAAGTGGTAGTTTGGGAAACAGATCAATGCTGTTCACATATTTTGGCTGTAAAATGTAAAACTACTAATACTGCACCTTAGCTGAGGATCCAATTTTATTTTTTTTTTATCGGGGTAAATCTGATAATGACAGATAGATCAAATTGTGAAGGAAATTTCTTTCAAATATTTAATGTATAATATTTACATACAATATTGTCATTTCATTAATCTTTTGTTGCTTTAATGATCAAATATTTGGATGTGATTTAGATTTGACAGTGGTCCACAGTTTTTTAGTACATGGAAAATAGAAACATTGACGGTGGTTCACAGTTTTTACTACCAGTACCGAGTACATGAAAAATAGAAACATTGTTCAGTTTTTTATTACATGAAAAATAGAAACATTGACTGTGGTTCACAGTTTTTTAGTACATGGAAAATAGAAACATTGATGGAAAATAGAAACATTGACTGTGGCTCACAGTGGCTCACAGTTTTTTACTACCGGTACATGGAAAATAGAAACATAGTTCACAGTTTTTTATTACATGGAAAATAGGAACATTGACTGTGGTTCAAAGTTTTGTACGCCCCGGTACATGTAAAATAGACACATTGACTGTAGTTCAGTTTTTTATTACATGGAACATTTGTTTTAATTTGTGACATTTTAAGTGTCTATCCATTTAATTTTATTTAGTATATAATTATAAGGCAAAGGCTTGTAAAACTAAACTTTATGTGATAGTTGGTTTGTACTAGATTTTCAAATGGATTACCATTTACATGATATTGGTGTTACAAAATTAATGCTTTAAATGTGTCAACAATTTCATTTATTACATTTAGAATGGTTTAAACCTAGTAGCCATTAAGATTTGTCCAGACTAAAATTAACTGCAACACTCCAGATCAGTGTTCTAGTAAAAGACCAGGAATGATGTTTGAATCTCATCAATGTACAATTCAATTTTAATTCAAATAAAGTCCAAAAACATTTTGTGTCATTAATTTTTTTCTGCATGTGATTTATTTCTCTGTGATTTTTTTGTATTTTAAAAATGAAAAAATTACATTATTTATGATTCATCTATGATTTTTGCATTTCCCCTTTTTTATGCATTTTTGACAGTTTGCATTCCAAAAGTACCCGATAAATACTTATTTTTCACTCCTTCATTTTTAAAATTAATATTTAACTTCAAATATAGGCCTATATACATATATATTAAGGGATTTAAATTATACCAATTTTTACTGTTTGATACCACTGGAAAAACATATAAATTCATAAAAATTTGACATTAATTTTCATAATTCTAACAGTTTTAATTAATTACAGAATGTAGTAATCAAAAGTAATATTGGTTGCTCAAAAGTGTTTATAAATCTTAGAACTGCCCAGTGGTAATTGCTAATCAGCAAGTTACACCAATTCCTAGAGAGGTAAAATTCCTCTGAAATGAGCTTACTGTTCAGACTTGAACAGATTTCACTATCCTTCTGTTAGAATGTTGATGTCCAAAATTGACTTAAGTGGATTGAAGTATCATACTTGTACTTCCAGTTCCACTCTGTATTGTAATTTTAAAAAGGGTATTTACCCCACAGATAAGTATGTGACTAAACAGACCAGAAAGCTTTGGTAACAATTTTCTTGACTCAACTATCACATATTTCCCCTTTCACTCAAAGTACTCAAAGCAAGCTGGCTTGAATGGCTGAAATCATTTAAGAACATTTGGGTAGAATGGGTTAATATTCTAATCTATCACATCAGTTGTATTGGCTTTTAGTCGTGAATTATTTTACACTGCAAAGCATCAGATTCCACTAATTTATGCCAAATTCTGTTTGTTTTTTATTT